GTCGTAGCCGTCCTGTGTAGTATAAAACCTGTCGTACTTCTCTCTAAAAATACAAGATCCGGTTCCCCCCCCCTCGAGTTCAGAGCTCATAAGTCGAGTTCGCCCCGCGTCTAAGCTTTCAACTGCGTCACTTCGTCCCTCGCTGCGTAACTTCGAAACCTCGTCCACTGCGTTTACTCGTCGATACCGTCTCGACGAACCCTTCGACTTCGACTATCGTCGGAGAAACTACGAACCGCGTCCTAGTTAAGTCCCCCCTATCGAATCGTGTCCTTTCCTTCTACGATACATCGAAGAGCTCTGCCGAGCTTCGATCATCGCTAACTTTCCACAGCCTCCGAGTAGCTTCGACGACGTGTCGAAGCCACCTCGTACCTTCCCTAGTGTTCGTAGCCTTTTACAAGGACGTTTCTCGTGTTCACTCGAAACGCGGGACACCTTGCTGCTAACTCCCCTCTCACTAGACTATAATCCGTCTCTCTAGTCCCTTTAGGTCGCACCCAGGTTAGGGGTTAGGGTTTCGTAGGTCGTATCACCGTCTGATACCATAGGCGTCCGGCTTGTTTGAGACCGTACAGCGCCTTGAGAAGCCGCCAGAGCCAGTCCTCGCGTCCAGGAACCTCGAAACCGGGTGGTTGGCGCATGTAGATCGTCTCGTCGAGATCGCCATTCAAGTAGGCGTTCTTGAAGTCAATCTGGTGCACTTCCCAGTCGTTGGCAGCTGCGAGGGCGAGTACAAGACGGAGGGATGCGAGTCGTGCAGTGGGAGCAGCGGTCTGATCGTAGTCGATGCCGTGGACCTGCGAGAATCCCTGCGCACAGAGGCGAGCTTTGAACTTTGCGATCTCATTGTTCTCGTCGCGTTTCTTCCGGAGTACCCAGACACACCCGACAACATTCACGCCCTTTGGCTTCTCGACCAGTTCATAGGTGCCCATCGCCTCGATCCTCGCCAGTTCTTCCTCCATTGCTACCTTCCAGTCCTCGCACTCTGGTCCTGCCATTGCTTCCCGGTATGTGGGTTCATCCCCATCCATGGCTGCAAGAGCGTGAACTGTCTCCTCGTCAGAGAGTTGCTCAGTGTCGCCCTCGGCATTCACATATGTTGCATGCTCGATGACGCTCTCCGGAACCTTCTGCGCACCTCGTCCTCCTGTCGTACCCTCCCCAGACTGCAGATCCTTGACCCATTGCGTCTGCTTGCGAATGCGCTGGCTTCGACGTGGTTCATTGCTTGAAATGGGTGGCTGGGTGATAGGAACAGGTTCAGGTATGGTAGGTGAGGTATCAGGAGCAGGAGCGGACGCATTTTGGTTGATTGTAGAGTGCTCCCCCTCAGACGGAAGGCGGACGTCAACAGAAGCAGAAGGAGGTGCCTCGGGAACGAAGCGGACATCGCGTTCGACAGACACGGTCCGGGACGTCGACCAGTACACGCGGTGACCTTTGCTACGAGCATCGAAGCCGACCCACTGCCCAGGACGCGACTTCGGATCGAGTTTGGATGCAGCATCGTGGCGAACCCAGACGGGGCAGCCAAAGCGAGGGAGGACGGCCAGATCGGGCTTGCGGCCAGTCGCGCACTCGTGAGGCGTGGAGCCAGGCGTGGTACGGGTCGTCGTGCGGTTGCGCAGCCACGCAGCGTGCATGATGGCCTCACCCCAAAGCGATTTCGGTAAGCCTGCGTCGAAGAGCATCGCGCGGCCATGTTCGGCAAGCGTACGGTTCAGCCGTTCGGCCTTGCCGTTCTGCTGTGGGGAGTCGTGAACAGTGAGCCGATGGGTGGTGCCCTCATCCGCAAGATAGGCCTCGAATTCCTTGCTGAGATATTCGCCTCCGCGATCGCACTGCATGTCCTTGACAGCAGTCACGTTGCGATGAGTCTTCGCCCAGGCATTGTAGACCTTGTAGCGAGAGAAGGCTTCGCTCTTTCGAGAGAGGAGGTGCACAACAGCTTCGTCAGTGTGATCGTCGAGGAAGAGGATGTAGTACACCTTCCCACCGGGGGTATGCACCGGCGCGGGGCCCCAGACATCAGTATGAACACGCTCGCCATAGCGAGTAGTAGGTGGACTCGAGCGTGCCTTCGGGAATGGGGCACGCGTCTGCTTTGCCTTTGCACAAGGTTCGCAGAAGGGTGCAGTGGTATCCTCGAGGTGGAGGCCAGTCACGACATTGTTCGTCACCATGGTTTGAAGGGCAGGGGCGTAAGCATGTCCCATACGACGGTGCAGTTCGCCAAGGGTGAGCGAGGTGGTGGCAGAGAGAGCACTCTCGCCCGTGGGAAGGGGCGGAGATTGTGCGTGAGCGAGAGGGTACAAGCCGTTCTTCTCGGCAACAACAAACAGGGTCCGGCCATCAGGAGCGACGACATGACAGCCGTCTCGTTCGAACCGAACACTGAGTCCTGTGCTTGCTGCACGACTGATGGATATTAGGGCATGGGGCATCGAAGGAGCGTAAAGGACATCGCGTAGGATAAACTGGGTAGTCTTCCCGTTATGGACAGTAGTTACCCGAACGTCGCCTTCTCCGGTTGCATGAAAGGTACGACCGTCGGCAGACGCAATTGGTTTGGGCGCAATATCCCGAAAGGTGATGAAGTTCGCGCGACAGGGATCGAAATGGCGGCTCGCCCCAGAGTCTAGAAGGCGTGTGAGCATCGGTAGATTCTGGCGTGAGGCCTGCGCAAAATCAGTCGCGACAGCAAACGCGAATGCATCTCCATCTGGGGTGGATGCAGTCTTCGCGGTTTCTCCCCCTGAACCTTTCCCCTTCGCTTTTGCCTTCCGGGCCTTGCTCCTTGGTCCCTGTCCCTCCTTTCCTCCCCCTTTACTCCAACAGTCCGGCTTCGAGTGGCCAGGCTTGTTGCAGTTGGCGCATTTCGCAGTACTGCTAACTACAAGCACGGCATCACCAGTCGATCGTGAGTCGTTCAATGCGAACTCGTCGCGCGCAATTGCATTGATCTGACGGATGAGCTCGGCAGGTTTGATTCCCGAGGAAGGAGTTGTGGGCGTGACCGAGGGAGTGGTTGTTGCCTGGGAAAGGGACGAGATGCGAGCCGAGGTGATGATTGTGCGTACAACACCCCGGTATGACATAGGAAGGCAAGACAATATGATTGCCTTGTACTCGGTGTCGCTGAGCTGACCCCCAGCTGTCGCATACTCTGACCTGAGCTTCTCCAGCTGGTTCAGAGTCTGACGAGGGTCGCTGTCTTCCGCACACCGGAGCGCATGCATCTGTCGAAGCAACTCGACCTGTACGAACTCCCCTTGGTTGTCATATTCATCCACGACAACCTGCCATGCTTCGGAGGCTTTCTGCAAGGGAGCAATCCGAAGCTTGAGTGATTCGGGTAAGGTCTGGAACAGCATCGTCCGTATGGACTGATGCTTCGCGACCCATACGTCGTTCGCGCTCTCGTAGCGTTCATCGGCATCCGGATCTACGCCTGGGGCTGTAGTTGGGATCGGAGCCTTGTCACGGCCTTCGAGGAACCGCACCAATCCTTTGGCGTAGACGGCCACACGGAACTGCTCCTTGTAAAGGATCCAGTTCGATCCATCCTCGATTAACTTCGGGATGCGGCTGGTCGTCGATTCGCTCGGATTGAGCTGGAACTCGTAAGAGGAGGCGGGGCTCATAACCTCTTAACGAGGTACGAGCGACGTCGAATCTAGCGACTACCGGTCAGAGCTTCAGTGAGGTAAGATCAACTCTTTATTACTGTACCTAGCGACTACCGGTCACTTTACAGGGGATCAGCGCATGTACAGTGCATAGGGAAATATAGGGACTTACGAGCTTCAGTGAGGTAAGATCAACTGAAGCTCGCATCGAAACAGAGACGCTATATAACATATCGTAATGCGGTGAGTCGCCAGTATCTACGGTACATGGCTAAACGAAAAGGAGTCCGGATATATAGTGCGGGTCAGGAACACCAGGGGCGCGACAACGTCGCGCTGATCCCGACGCGATAACGCGGCGTCATGCGCGCACGCACACGTGGGGCGGATGGATGCGCTTGACCGTCAACAAGACGTTGTCGTGTTTTCCGACGAGTGTACTTGACACTTGCTTCCAGGGGGAACCTCAGGCTGTGTGATTGCCAGCCGCATTGCCGACGCCGATCCTACCATGAAAATCCTTGTGGTTGAGGCTGGTCCGCCTGTTCGCGATGATATGGCTCACATAGTTCCCGCGCGGTACCTCTCACACTTATTGCCCACGAGCAATACCCTCAAGATACACGTCGGCAAGAAGAGTGAAGTACTCGGACGCGCTCCCGTCGTTTCCCATGCGCAGTGCTTGGGCGGAGCATCAAGCATCAACTGTACGTCACTTCTGCACCGGATGTCTGCCTTCTCGTCTGATTGTGGGAAAATAGTCATGATGTACACCCGCGCCTCGGCCTCCGACTACGACACTTGGTCACGTGTATACAAGAACCCTGGCTGGGCATCTGCCGACTTGCTGCCACTGCTTAAGAAGGTTGGCTAATAGTATCCCGATACGAGTGACCGGATACTCACTGTGATTTAATTTAGTATGAGACTTATCAATGTCAAGAGGGCTTGGAGACGCACGGTTACAATGGGCCTCTGAATGTCTCGTACGGCGGAATCCAGACCGAGATTGGCATGCAATTTCTGGAAGTCGCATCGGGACTGCTGAAGCGTCCTGTCGTGGACGACTTCAACGACCTGAGGCAGGCAAATGCGGTCTCAGTAAGTGACGCTCTGGAGCTGTAGAGCGATATCACGCTGATACGCGATACAGAGATGGCCGAAGTAGGCGAATGGCTGTCGTCGCTAATGAACAGGGTCAACTGACTGCTATGTAGATGGATCAACAGCAAAACAGGCAGACGCCAAGATGTACCTCACAACTATCTATACGACAAGGATAGAACAACCGGCCTCGATATATTAACGGGCTTTGTCGTCAAACGTGTTCTCGTGGAGTGCGTTCTGTCGTTGAGCGCCGTGCTGCTGACGTTGATGGCGACACTTATAGGAACGGTCGAGCGGTCGGCATTGAGTTTTTGCCAGATTCCCGCTTCCATCCTCAGGAGACGCAAACACCTCGCATAGCGAAGGCGAGGCGCCTAGTTGTCTTGTCGGCGGGCACCTTCGGCTCGCCTGTGATCTTGGAGCGATCGGGTATAGGTGGCGCAGAACGGCTCGAAAAGCTCGGTGTCGATATGGTTGCTGATCTTCCGGGAGTGGGCGAGAACTATCAAGGTACTCACTCCTCGCGTTATGTCGGCCAATATGACTTGACCAACCTACGTGACAGATCACCCCGTGGTTTTCACGCAGTACTTCGCTGGAGACGAAGCAGATACTCTGGACGGCCTCATGCAGGGGAAACTTGATGAGTTACATAGTAAGTGATCCTGCATCGTTGGTCAACACTCGGTAACCAAAACGTGTTCCACAGGATGGACAGAACAATGGGCCAAGGATGGAACGGGTATGCTTGCTTCAAAGTATGTCCGCGTACATGCGTAGACCGTGAAACCATAGGCTAATGAAAATTGGTCAGCGGGATTGAAGCTGGCAGCCAGTTGCGACTGACTCCCGAGGAGCTGAAGACTTTGGGTCCGGAAGTCCAGCAGCGATGGGCTCATGACTTCGCTGATGTCTCTGACAAGTCGATCATGTGTATCGCTTGTGCTGCTGCGTAGGCTCTAGTCTAAATCCGGGGTTGCTCATGCTCACAATACATTTACCATTGCAGATTCCTCGGAAATCCTGTAGGGATGTCCCCTCGGAAATATATTACGATTGGTTACACCGTATGGTACTCACGTGCAGTGGGCTACCTGCATGCGACTTCTGCAGACGATGTCAATTCTCCCCTTGATTTTGATCCGCAGACGATTAGCGGGTTTGTACAACTTATGACATCGAAAACTTCTTTACTGACGACATGTTCTAGGCCCGAAGACCTAGCGTTGCAAAGATGGGCATACAAGCAGTCCCGTGATATCGGGCGTCGCATGCCTCTATATCGCGGAGAGCACAAGGGCGGGCATCCCGCGTTTGCTCCCGACAGTCCAGCGGTCGTTCAAGTGGAGGGACAGCCCATTAAGCTGAGCGATCCCGTCCTGCAATACAGCGCAGCAGACGACATGGCTATCGACGCCTTCCATAAAGAGGTTGTTGCGACGATGTGGCACTCGGTAGGTTACGCCATGTCTCGACTAGATAACGCGGACGGAATAATATTGGTGTAATAGCTCGGAACATGCGCCATGAAGCCGCGAGAGCAAGGCGGGGTGGTTGACTCCGCCTTGAACGTGTACGGAGTGAAAGGCTTAAAAGTGGCTGGTATGTATCCAAACGTGGTGTCTCATTGCTGAAAGCTGACCTCATGTATTTGCACAGATATGTCTATTGCGCCTTCCAATGTTGGTTCGGTACGTTATACATATCTTTTTCAAAATTGGTGTGCGCGACTGATGTTGAGTCTGCAGAACACGTACTCCAGTGCGGTGCTTATAGGAGAAAAGGCTGCCACTATCATTGCCAGCGAACTTGAAATTAAGATCTGAGATATGTATTTCTGAGAGGGCGATCCTCTGCCAGATCATCTGTAGTCATATTGTTAACTAGTCGGTGTGTCGCCGACACCAATGGTGCCAAATATAGTGGAAGCAGGCATTCCGCTTGCATGGATAACTGAGTATCCCGAAGTTACGAATATCAGGATGATATTGCATGCGATAGCTGTAGTCATGTCTACGCCCCGATCTATGGAGAGTGGTACAGCGCTAACCTCAAGGTTTGCCAGGATTGACAGACATCCGAGACAATGAAAAGTATGGAACAAAAACAGGAAGCATCAGTGAATGATATTGTGTTTTCGGCATCTAGGGTAATATATTTTCGACGTGGAACGCTATCCCGCATCTGAGCCCGCGATTCATCAGCCTTCCCTAGACTTTATCAGAGTATGTTCTAGATTTCACCGATGCCATTTGCTGCCAGCTGTTTGGTCTCCTTCGCAGCCCGCGCGCCCTCCGTTGCCAGCCGCGAAGCATCGAACACTTGCCCTTCAGTGTTTTTCTCATCTACTGCTCCTTTTCTCTGCATAGGCTACTGTGTTTGATAGATTCCCCCCTGTTCCCCAGTAGTCCACTTTCGTTCCTGAACATGGTCTTATTCCCGGGAGTCGATCCCGCTTTGGCTTGCCGCACGATTTCAAAGCTAAGCTGCTAATCCCTCCTTTGCAGAACCTCGTGCTCTCTATGGAAGACCTTCTCAAGTTGTGCTACGATCTTCCCTTTGCGCCATCGGACCCCTTTCGCGCGCCGATCAACTGCTGCCTCCTTTCGCTGTACTTCTTCATTTATCTGTCTAGTCCTCGTCTCACTAATACTTAGCTGCTCTTCTCTCTGACACGTAGCTAAGGTGAGGATGACGATTGGAGCTGTGACGGTGCTGCAGTAGCCCTTAGTGCCGAATACGACACCACTATGTAGCTGCCGCCGGACACGAGGTTCGCCGTTTGAACCTTGGTTTTCTGAGGGCTTTCCCCTGTAACCAGGCAGCAAGAGACCTCATTGAGGAACACTGTAGAACTAGGTGTCGCCTTGCCCTTGTGTTGTGTTCATGAATCCACTCTGCTTACATGCCAACACTTACCTAACAGGTGCGTACGTGGGCGTGTGGCTTTCCCTGGGGAAAATAGAGCGTTATAGAACTACCACGATATCAGGATAGCAATAATCTGCATTCTCCTAGCATGTCACAGTAGTCAGGCGGCGATGGCGACAAGTCGCCCCTGTCAAAGTAATTCAGCTGCTTGCCGCCCGATTCATAGGGCCGGGCGTATCATGATCAAGTCCTTTCCTGAGGGTTATAAGATGGCATGTTACATCGGCTTGCATGTAAGATGCATTGAATCACAATCAAGTCAGACATGATCACAGTCAGCCGTCGCTTCAACGTCGCGACGCGTCGTGATCACGTGCCAATGGTCGAGGCAAAGTTGTAGCGGTGACTGCCACGACACCTCTCTCTAGTGCCCAGCTATCATAGCCTGAGGTTTCCTCAGGCTTTCGACCGACTCGTATACGATAGTCTCATAGTATCTGGCGAAACAATCTGTCTATTTTCTAGGCATGCACCATATCCTGGCCACTGCGGCGGCAAGATGTATCCTCAAAACTGCATCATGTGCTACCTCGTCAAAAATCTGCTAATATACATCCGCGGACATGAATTCCTGGGTACAAATACACCCACACGACTCGTCGCCTTTCATCTGCTCATATCTCCGACTGATTGAAGTGCCAGCGAAGCCCGTTCTGCATCTGCATCTGCGAGGATACCGGATTAGATCTGCCTTCGTTCCTCTTCACCCCTCCCCTTCCTGGAGACCCATTCGGACCGGATACTAGGAGGTTCGAGTCTAGTAAACCCACCAAGTAACGAGCTTGACCAGAATTTCCTTTGATCTCGCTCACTCGATCGATGATCTTCGCGCTGATTCGGAACTTTGTCTCTCCATCGCCTATCGTCTGTGCGGCTCGTATAGCTTGCTCTCGACTCAACAATGTCAGCTTTTCACCTTTAAGTCGTTTCACCTTAACTCGCAGCTCCCGTTGCTTGTCCATCAAGTCTTCCATTTGCTCTGCATCTGTCTTCATGTCAAGCACCTCTTCTACCTCTCTGTATGCGCCTCTGTCTGCTTTGCCTCCGAGCTCTTGCCTCAGGCGGTGCGAAGCCTTTTCGTCGAGTCTCACCCTACGGCCTTGTTCGCCCTCAAAGTCGATTGTAGATCCGAGATTCGCACTCGTCGTGGAACTGACATCCTCTGGAACTCCAGGCACATTCCTCGAGCGTCTCATACCGACATCTTGGCTACTGCCTTCGCCATCGATGTCCGCTCGAGATACGTTTGCTTCTACCTGCGTAGATCGTTTCCGACTTTCGCCGATTGTATGATAGGCCCAGCTCCTCTGGTCGCGATGGGGGCCGCGCATCGTCGAGAGAAGGCGCCATTTGTATAGATCAGCAGGATCATCGTCTACAGCTTGCCCCCTTTCCCTGGGCGGAGCAGACCGGATGTTGGTGGCGAAGGCAACTGGATCTCGATGCCATCCTGGTATAGGGGTCAAAGTCTCGCCTGATCCTAGAGGGAGCGCTGGCAGGATGAGCTCACTCCACAGCTCTCCGACTTCCCGCGAAACTCTTTCCTCTATGTTCGTGCTCTCCGTGGGGTGGACATCAAGGCGTGGCGGATCTCTCCGCGGGTCTTCATCACAGTCACTCGATATGATGGGCACGAGAAGAGCCTGGACTCGCAGCCCGGGAGGGAAAGGGTTTGACACTGGACGGCCGTCCCGCGAAGAGCCCGGCGGATGCCAAATTTCATGTGGCGACATGGTTCGGAAGTGGGATGGTCCGCTTACTCCTGGGATTCCGTCCTTGCGTAACTCGGACTCAGGGACGGTCTCCTTTCCCCTCCTGCCAGAGGTCGACAAATCTGGGACACGGCCATCATGATTGCCTGAGTTGATGCTCGGAGTCGCCTCCCTGACCTCCTGGCGCGCTGTGGGTTTCGCCTTGCCCCGGGGAGACCATATCCAAGTGACGCTGTCTGTTGTGAGAGGAGCCGCTGACGTCGTCAACGAATCCGCACGGACACCGAACAGGTCTGGGCGGTCACCGGACCCTTTCTCACGCCACATCTCCGGTACTGTCCTCGTCTCGGAGACGGGTGTCGTATTTGGCCCGTAATTGCTCGACTCGCTCTCGGTGTCCGTTGTGCACGTCGTCTGAGGTGGAAAGCGGGCAGCGGGTGCTCTCTCATCTTGTTTCCCTGACATGCTCTCTGAATCCTCGCTGAGTATGGGGTGCGCATGGTTGACTGAGGCTGATATACCAATTCGTAAGCATACTGCTTACTCGCAAATACCATTTGAGACCATCCTTACCTGTGATGGCAGCTTCTTGCGCCTGCTCAGGACTAGTCACGCTGGACGACACGCGCTCTGCAAATCGCGGAGTCGCGAGCATGGCGTCCAGGACGTTTCTTGTCTCTCGAAGATACTGCGTCAAATCGTGCTCATTCATGTACGCATATGGAGAGCTTTTGCGACTCTCCCTCTCCCGCGCCAGACGCTCCCGATACGTCGTTTCGGCCATGTTGCAGATGTATGTCATGGTTTGCTCGTATTGCTTTGTCATGACTCTCATAGCAACGGAGTCTGGCGAATACTGGCTCAGATGTGTACACCGCGCTCTTGCTTCCTCGACCAGAGGCCATAACTCCCGCTCGATTTCCTTTCTTGTCTGCTGTTTCCAGTTCTCGTCGGGTTCGAGATACGGGTGGTGCATGAAGCCTACGCTGACGAGTGTTGGATGAAGCCCATGACCCCCGAATCCGGCCAAGAAGCTCTTCTATAATCAGACTGTCCTCGGAATGCTCATATCCCAATGGGTCCCCCGGGTTCATATGACACGCCTGTGCGGTAGGCGGACCTTATGATATGTCCTCCTTATAGCGATAGCCAATAGCGTTCTACAAGTTGAATGTCTGGCAGGGTTCCATATCACTTGTCAGACATGATAAGCGGGTGGTTCCGGAGTGGCCTCGCGCCTTCACTATGACGCAGGTGGCACTGCGACTCGCATGGCCTGGAACGCCTAGATGCGATTGTGGTCAAGGACAGTCCTGGATCTGGGACGCGATAACCCGGTCCAGGCGCGACCACGTGACTTACGGGCTGCGACCCTGCAGTGCAAGGTTGTGCCTTTCCTTGTAGCTTGTCATACGCGACAAGGAGCGCAGATGTGGTCATCAGTTGATTTAAGGTTTAGAACACAGCAGTACGAAGTCCTGTGGAGCGTCTTTCAAAAGATGTCGTACGATTCTTATCCCAGACAGTATGCAGGCAATTTCGCTCCGAGCTGACATGGCTCCATCGAGTCGTTGATCCATATACAGACGATCGCACGACAGGTCTTGGTCTGGCTCGTCCCCAATGGATTCGAGGGCGTGCGCCTATGCACAAGTACTCTAGGACGATCGAGGCGAGCGGAGGCGATCCTATGGCCCTGGACATTGTCGCTCCCACCTTTTCGTTATATAAGACAATCGGTTACGCAGCGCCATTCTGACACTCAGCTGCGAGATATCTAGAACTTACAGGTGAGGCCGCGATGGAATCCGTGCATTTACCCGCATATCTGATCTGGTTGCCAGTCGTAATACGTTTACTAGAGACCCCATTCGCGTATGGACAAGGAAATGTTTGAAGCCGTCTCTAAAGGTTAGCGTTGTCAGCGTTGGCTTATATGCATGATTACACCCTGACGCTCCTGTAGGCACCACCGCGCTCAACTTGTTCGGCGCCCTCAACGACGATGTCCTCTACTACTTGCTCCCGTTCCTCTCTTCCCGCGACGCGCTCCGACTCATGCTGACGTGTCATTATGGCTATGCTTATGCTGTCCCGCGATTCGTATCCGAAATCGTACTCGGGAGTAATCTCGGCAACGGACCAGGGCAGATCGCCTCGTTCTGCGCATTCATGAACGCCCATGGGATCCACGCGATCACGCAGCTGCGCACGCTGACTATCATGGACACGGCGTTCTTACGAGCAGATGGCGCACGAACAGGCGGATTCGCCATGATCGATCACGACTACTCCTGCGCGGAAGGACTCGCGCAGGTCCTCTCCAATGCTGTCAATCTCGCACACATACGCATCATGCAGCCAGATCCATTGTTCCGTGCACAACCATCCCTTGTAGACGCCTTGTGCGCTCTCCCTAGACTCGACGAGATCTGCCTTGTCAATGGCGGATCCGCATCCCTCCAATTCCTTTCCCGTCTCACGAGCCATCCACAAGAAGTCAGCCTTCACATGGCTCGCCAGCCTCTTTTACTCAAGGACGAGCATCCAGAAGACCTCACCGCACTCCTCCCCCTTTCCGATTGTTTGCGCACACTGCATCTCTGGAGCAGCTTCGACCTCACGAAGCGCTTGACACCGGATACTGTGTGGCCGTCCGTGGGGGAGCTTTCCTTGGGCGGTGCAATCGCACTGGAACGACTCCTTCCCGCATTCCCGAACGTCAGGAAGCTGTATTTTGGGGACTGCCAGTTCTCCCCTGGAAGTTCTGAGCTAGACGACTGGCCGGAAGTCGACGACGTGACGGCCGTGTGCTTTGTGCCGCTTGCGTTCCCAGTTCGCCGCTTGGCTCTGCGGTATAACATTGCGCTTGATGCAAGAACGGCGACCCTGCTCGAGAAGGCGGCTCCCGTCGTCCTCGAATGCTTCGTCGGTTGGGGCGCACTGGATCCTCGCATTGCGAACGCCGTACCGCACTTGAAGTTTCTACAGCTCCATGTCAAGTGGTCTGACCCGGCTGCTCATACGCTATGCGATGGCTCACAAGCGTGGCTGGTGCGTTTCTCCTGCTTTGATGCCCTTGCTTTTCCGCTGAGCGTTGCTTCAGATGACGTACGTGTGCCCATTCGCGCAGGTGTCACTCTTTGGGCTCTCCATCCACGTCTGCGTTGGGGCCGTTGACGCTGCACGAATGGACGTTGCGCGACTCGCTGAGGCTATTGCACGAACCATACCTAGCCTTCAATACGTGGCCGTGGCTATTGACGGAACCTGTCGAGGTGCATGTGCAGACGAAAATCCCGTGTACAGATGGTATCGGTGTACTGCAGGGGCCGGTCATCCTGAGCTGCAGGAGATAGCGGACTGGCATGCGGAGGAAGTATACGCACAGTTGACAAACGTGAGTCGATTATAGACACTCTGTAAGCATAGAATGCTCTAGATACCGTCGCCTAAGGACATACCGCACCGCTTTCTCATCGTATCATAGTCGTCCTAATCCGCGCGCATCGTTGCCTACCAGTCCTACCAACTGGCAACATGACCCTAGCAAACAATCAGGGTTCCTTTGTTACCTATTACTATATACTTGCTGAGCTAACGCAGTAGCGAAGAGCCTATAATATATCCGTTCAAAGTTGCCGCTTAAATGTCGCGGAAAAAGAAGCGACTTCTCGCTGCTTTTGAAGCGCCCAGATGTGGCTGAAGGTCGCAGAAACGGTTGCTTGTGACCAAGCGTAATGAAGCTGTGACCTCATCACGTTCTCGCGAAGGGCGGAGCAGCCAATCAGGTCGGTGAATTATGCAGGCGTGACATGCCGTAAGCCAGAATCTGCGAGCGTTTGCGACAAACAGTGGCTTATTTGTCGCTGTTCGAGGAGGGAAGCTCAAATTCTGCTCACTGCTTTGAGCCGCTTAAATGTCGCTGTTGTTTTCAGCGATAATTAAGGGGCAACTTTGAACGGACCTACTTGAAGATATCGACGCGTGAAAAAATACGACAAAATAGTAACAAACATGAAGCCGGTTCGGCGAGTACCGATCTCCACGTGGGTGCGTATGGCGCACGCCGCTCTCAGGCGGGTGGAGGACGGCCGCTCGGTTTCACAGGGTTGAGTGATGTCGATCGTACCGCTTTTGAAGTCGATCGTGCGGTACACATCGACTCCGCTGGCAGATCTCAATGTGAGCGGTCGTTAGTCCGAGATGCGGGCACCGATGTCCTCTGATAAACACAGGTAAATCACAACAAGTGCAGAGATCGATAGCGAGTACAACAGTCAGAATGGCACATAGCGACACAACAAATCATCACGAAGTAAGAGCTCGTGCACTGCAATAGGGAAACTTACAAGACGACGCAGATCGATAGACAGCGAGGAAGAAACAGGGGTTCCTGTGTACTACACCTTAATCCGCTCCCTCGTCGTCGTCCTCATTGCCGCGGAATAGAAGAGCCATTTCGAACTCAGTCAGGAAGCTAAGCACGTAGGCCAGGTCTTCTATGCTCACGCCCAGCTGCGTGGCTCGCAGGTGCATGGTCGCGTCGCTCACTTGGCCGCTCTCCATGCCTGCCCCGCCGCCATCGCCAATCTGCGTGCTGGTGCCGCCGCCGTTGCCAGTAGGACCCTGCGACCTGTCGCAACTTGTCTCCTTGACATGGCGGTTTCTCGCATCCTTCCGTGCCCAAGTCGTGCCGCAACGAGAACAGACGAGCTGCCTGATATCAAAACAGCCCAGCAGGTGACGGTGGAAGTCGCTTTTTCTATTGAATCCCTTGTGTTCGCATTTCTCGCGAGGACAAACGAATTCCTTCTGCTGCTGAGGAGGTGCGGCGCGCGTAGTTTTCTGCTTCTTGTTGCGCGAGTCGGAGAAGCCGTCGACACGGTCATTGTTGTCGGTACAAGGCCTCTTCCGCTTGGCGTTCCGACTTGGTTGCGAACGACGCGTCACCTCTGGAGCTACAGTCGAAGGGCCAGCATTTTCATCCTTGATGCTGCTGTCGGTCGCGCGCCATTTCTCTTTCTGCGCGGCGGTGATCCGCGGCAAAGGCTCTTGGGACCCTATCGTGTCCTGCCACGCCTGGTGCGAGGACTGCCTATGGCCCATGCCCTCACCTACGCGCGTCGAATTCGTAGGCGGTGCGTGTTTGCCGCCTCTTGATTGGGACGTCCGGCCATAACGACGAGTCGCGTATGCCTCACTGACGGATACTGCATTCAACCCATCAGTTTCTCTTCCGACGAGGCTGTCGACGTCCTCGTTGTCATTGTCGGTGCTGGAGTCGCTTACGACCATGTCTCTGGAGGCATTGTCGTATTTACCGCTAGTTTCGGCCTTGCTCATCGTGCGTGGGCAAGGGCTGACTACGCTATATATGTGAGCTTCCTTGTCCTGTATCGCATGCGACGCGCCTGCATCGCCACTCGCAGACGCTGTGGCCTGCGTCGGGGCGCTCGTTTTGCCCTGCTCAAGAAAGCCGGCATGCATTCGGTTGGCTGACTGCGGGGCCGACTGGTATTCGACCCAGGACCCGACAGATAGGTCCCCGAGCGAGGGTGCCGGGTCGACTGCAGGAGGTACCTTTGATTCCGGACCCAACGGCTGAGTGGCAGCATTAGTCAATTATTATGACGATAAAATGATTGATTGAACATACGTCTAGCAAGCGCTTCCGCACAGTCTCATCAAAGTAACCGTCATAGCCAGCATACCGGTCATCGACTTGCTCTTTGACACTTGCATCCAGGTCGAATGAGTGTCGACCGCTGTCGCAAGTGCAGTCGCTGACGAAGTGGCGGAGACAGTGCTCCGTTCGTCGATACTGCTCGACGATGGCAGTCGCCTTGTCGCACCAGACGACAAGTACTTTCTCATCGCGCTGTCCTCTATTGTGAGCATCTTGACTGTTTACATCATGGACGTGGACCATGCTTACCACTAGCGCGGCGTCATACAGATACAAGCCTGCATCGTCCAAAGCCTCAATGGATGAGACAATTGGGATGTGGGAGCCGGCGACTTCCACAGCATCCTGCACATCACTTGCAAAGGAACAGTGAGCTCGAGTGCAGTGGTTCAGCTCTCAATGAGAACACTTACAAGATGCGCAACGTGTCCTCGACAGCCTTTGTTCTGGCCTTCACCGCGACTTCGCATCCGAGTCGTGACGTCGCCGCCGCAAAAGGCAGGTCGGTGCTGTCTGAGGTGAGGACGAGCTGGTCTGTGTGTAAACACACAGACGTGTACCGCTCGTCGCCCGAGATGCCTTGAATGGCTATCTCGAGCTGTTCAAGGGTGGTAAAGTAAATTGTAGTAGCGTCCATGACGACTGATGAGCGGGGAGGTGACAGATGGCATGTGGGGAAGGTCAAAGCGCGTCTGTGGCTGAAGTCGGTTGTAGGTCCTTTATTTTGAGCGTCTTCTCCGCTTTGGAAGTCCGCACACTCAAGCCTTGTTGTCAGGTATCGGACTTGGAACTTCGCTGATGGGGTGAGCTACCCCATGCCCTCTTACTATCCTTGTCTGATTAGGAAGTGGGTGGCATATGTGCTCACAAAATGTATTCGAGATCAAGGGCAATGCTGATTCGTACGACCATTGTCAATAATGCAACCCAATGGCCTTTTCTTATTCCAGGCGTCCATGCTCGGTGCTCGCGAGTGGTAGGTATTCAATGCAGCTGCTTCCATTCTATCGCTAAACATCCGCTCTTAGCCTTTGTAGTTGGTATCCACCGTAGAGGTGTCGTGAAAATATTTGACAAGCGCTCATTGATTCAACCCCTCCAACTCCCGGCCGCTAGGTCTTCCTAATCGCAAGCTCGGTAAAATGGAACTTGGTCGAATCTACGGCGGCTCTTCCATCCCCTGAGGGCTGAAGCGTAGCATACATCCAAATATCGAATTTGGTCAACACGGTGACTACACTGTTCGTCATTCCACACATCTCACGTTACTGGTCTCGCCTGGGTAGCCTATAAAGAGCCCGCCTTCTACGTGAGGAGGCCGCCACATTCCTCGGAGTGTCAGTGCAGCATATGATGAAGATCGGGACAGGACAGCGCGCCTTCCTCGACATTAGTGGTGGAGACCCGAAGTCCTGTTTTTCAACACGAGTTGTTTCCTGGAAATTTGTCGCTCTGTGTAAAAATGCACACGTCCCGGAGCTTTAGGTGTGAAGAGTCTCTTGACATCTCATCCTTTGGATCCTAACGCATCTTTCAAGGCCAGTGTCATGAACTACATGTGATACGTCATCGTGTCCGTGGTACAGCAAAGAAGAGAGGAGTAGCCTTGTGTCTGGGTCCTCCGGAATCATACGACAGCGACGAGCCCGATTCTCACGACACCATTTACGCTCAGATGAAGACTCGCCAGCAACGCTGAGAAGGACCTTTCTGCCCCGTCGTCTAACTCGTGTCCTCATTTCACAGCCCGTACCATCCGCGCATGCACCCACCGATTCCGACAATATCATAAAAGGTACACCGTACGCGCATTCTCGCACAAATGTCAGATTCTTACCATGGAACCTTCTCGGTTGCGCTCGTGCAAACCTCTGTCCAAGAGTTGCGGACGAGGATGTCCCCGCGTCGTTTCTATTCTCCATCCAGTAAACGCAACACTCTGGATAACATTGCAAGATTTAAAGGCTCATACGTCGCTCATTGTGAGCATGTCTTGTATCCTGCGCAACCCTCTCAATGCAATAGCATGTGGCGCTGCGGATTTCCAACATCTCTGTTGGAAGCGTACAGGATGCTAGTGAACTTGACTAGATCCCTTTGTGCTGCTGCTAAATCCTTTCTCTCGGACAATTCCGCGTGAAGATCTGCCTCCACAACTATATGCACAAATGATCATGTGGAATATCTGTCTGCGTATACATTGACTGGTGCATCGCGCTGGAGGATATCAGTGTGTTATCTAGTATGTCGTACTATGCTTAGGGCCTTCGAAGGCGATATCCGGCGGATGCCGAGACAATACATCCGAGATTACAAAGTTAGACGACGAGACAAATGCGGCAACTCCATCATCACCTTCAGTTGAACATGGCATTCTATCGCTCGGGCATACACCGCGCCGCTCATTCAAATATCTGTTTACTATACTAGAAGGTCACCTCGCTGTTCCTCAGAGCAGTTACATCCGAACGCCATCGCACCGCTGGTCCAAGCGTCTCTGTATTACGCTCATTCGCGCCCCATAGTCAGTCTAGGAGACTCGTGATTGGTGGTTGCGTCAGGCTATAGTGAAATGCGTGAGCATGCAGTCTACACTTATCGAACGAGACATCATATATTGTGGCATAGGCGACGAAGACAGAAGTCATAGACATAGGCACATGACGAACAAGCATAATAGTCAAAACAATCGTACAGGAATGGAGGCCGGCATTCGCGAATGAGCAAGGAAATCAGCAGAGGAAGAAAACGATGTGAGGCTAGTAGTCATCGGGCGGTGCAGGTGAGCCTTCGTTCTCGCTCGGATCCCTGCTGGTCATTCTTTCCTTGACCCACTCCACTGCATCCCTGTACGACATGTTGTGCTGGCTGTGGCAATGCCTCCCGCGCGAGTCGGTGCGTGAGTACATTTTGAGACAGATCGGGCATTGCCACTCCTTCTGCTTGCCCTTGGTGCACCCTGTTGTGATGTGGCGGTCGCGCACGCCGCTGCGCGAGAACCATTCATGGCAATTGTTGCATTGATAATTTCGTGCAACGGGCGTCCAAGTTCTCGGCTTCCTGATGACGTGGGATTGCCGGAACCTGGTGCGGGCCTTCTTGGAACGAGGATGGGGCATGTCTGCAGCGGGTGCGGTGATACCTCCGAAGCCGCTGTTGACGTAATTGGTGTGAAATATGTTCTGTCCTACGTATGGTAGGCCAGACATGTACGCGCTAGTTACGCCATAAGGTGCAATATAGGGCATGTGAGGAGCCGGGTTGTGATTGAGGCCCATTAGATACCAGTACATCGAGGTAGTAGTGGTATTTGATTGGTCGAGGTAGTGGGGTTGATGAGCGTAGGCCAGACCGAGGTAGGGCTCTGAGGCAGGATGAGTCAGCCATGGGTACCCCATGAAGTGCTCGGGCTCTTGCGCAGGCTCTTGGTGAGAAGAGATGCCTTCCGGGGATCTGAGTGGCGTCCCCATGCCATTGGTCTCCGAATTTATACTCTCGAAGCTGAAAATCTGTGGCAACAATGCCGGACATCAGATGTGGTATACAGACTGACAGAGATGTGACATACCTCCTGTGGTTCAATAGGCGGAAGGTCCCAATCGGTCTCCTGAACAATGGCTTCCAGATCAGGGACATTGGACGAGTCCTCCGCGTTTTGAGGCTCGTCGACCTCTGTGGTCTCTGCTGGAACCGACGAAATAAATGACCACTCGTCAGTATTTGTGGACACCATGTCCTTCAACTTGTCGCAGAATTCAGGGAATGGGTCGGACACCATTGTGGGATGAGTGGAGGCAGTGTAATCGGTATACTATGGACAAAGAGTTATGTAGGCGATCTAATGAGTGCTTTCAGTAGAGCCAAGGATGTGGTGGTTTGACTTACGTAGAAGTGAAACATTTGTCTTTCCGTTCTATTCCTTGTACTACTAGCGCCCATACTGGCGCCTGTCTTAGCGCTCACCCGCAGGTTGAACATTATGTAGCTTACATAATGGGGTCCGTGCGCACTTCGTTCCTGGTATCGTACCACTACGTTTCTTTCTTCACTAACACGACCACATAGACACGATGGTCCGTGCGCAGTCGGTACTTGTATAAGTAGTTGTACCATTAGTCGGTCGAACCCTAAGTTCGACCTGGTTATTCATTCAAGTCTCTGCTTCTCTTCACTTGGGGTAGTGGTCATTCTCGACTTCCTCGCTCAATCTTC